ACATTACGTTTCCAATGTAGGCGATTCCACTGTTATGATCCTGTTTAAGGACCTGTGTGATTTTCGGGCTTTTCGCCGACTAGCTCAAGTCTGGGCCGTGAGTCCCCGAACCCTGCCCACCGCACACATAACAATAAACATAACGCTGACGTTATACAACACAGTGAACTGCACGTCTACATTCAAATTCAAATTCAAAAACAAAACAAAACAAAACCGCTCGCAACATATTTGTTTGGCTTCAACGGATTTGGTCTCCCGGTGTATTGGAGACCGTGCATTACCCTCCCGACCTTGCAGCCTGCTTGCAACATATTATTCTTTTGCAGCTGCCCCTAACCAATTAACACACACAATTCACTTACACATTACCCGGTTTACCTTTCCCCCACATAAAAACGTACTACTCCATATTTAACTTAATTTATTAACACAATAATTTGTATATAATTACTTCCCTTCAGGTACATGTATAGCCTAATTTTGCATGCTGTAATCGTTTTCCTTTTAGATAATTATAAGTCCCATTTAACCTTCAGAAAGTTTTCTTAAATTCGCAATTGGACCTACGCGTAAGAGCTCTCAAGGGAAGGGTGCGGGGGACACCAGCAATGGATATATATATATATATATAGACATAAATTACACTCACACAAAACTGCACTAGCATACACTTGAAGATAATTTTTGAAACAAATTTAAAAATAATATAAGTATATGGGTAGGTAAATATTTGAATAAATAAATAAATAAAGGCAAAAAAATTATGGAATAAATAAATAAATAAAGGCCGAAATATGAAATAAATAAATAGATACACAAATACATAAATAAGAAAAAACTTAAAATAAAAACTTGTAAAAATCCTTAAAAATTATAAAAAAAATTACTGAAGCCTACTGGCTCCCGGTGCCGCCACTTGGGAGGCGTGTCGGTCTTCCACGATGACAAACTACCAAGACCGGCTTATGCAACCGTCTCGCAAAAACTGAGCGCCAGGTTATGGTCACTCCTCGTGGGACTTCCGACTGGATTTATGGACTCCCAATAAAAAAATCTGAGCCAGGTCAGCCGTCGTGACCTGGCTAATCTCTTCAAGATTTCACTGGGTCTGGTCGAGCCTAGAAGGAAAAGCCAATAAGGACGGCCTCACTCCTGGACGTCGACCACTCACCTCAAGGGGTTTCTCGTTCCCAGCTACTTTCCGGATCCTTAGTGTCACAAAATTAATTAAATTTATTTAAACCACTGGCAGCTGCTACTGCGCAACCGACGATGTCGTTGCAAGATTTAAAATTACGTAGAAACAAACTTATTTAAACTTCAAAAAAAACTGTGCAGCGCAGCAGCCAAAACGCCCTTTATCGACTTTCAACTTTTTTGATCTGTCGCTCTCTTTCTCTTCGCCCAGCCATGGAGTCAGAACTCCGTTGTTTCGAATTCAAAAAATTCCGGGTCGTTGACCCGGGTGACCATCATTCTACGCCCCATGGCTAGGTTGGCAGGTCTACCGGCACTGCTTGCCGCTTGCTAAAAATAAGTTGGCAGGACCTAACAGATTGCTGGGTAACTTATCGATATCTAAAGGTGGCCACAACACCACTGCACAATGTTTTCAAAACCAGGGACTGCAAAAAACAAGTTACGAGATTTTAAAAATCGCATTCAAAAAGGAAATAAGTGATATCCAAAACCAAATGAAACCACAAATAGTAAGCGAAATGGATAGCGCTCTTTTAGTCTTTCGATCAATACTTGACGCCAATTTTGACTAAAATGATAATAATCGGCATAAACAAATAAAAAGTCCATAAAATAACAAGTTATATAAAAACTATAATTTATTTATATAATATATATTATACATTTCTTTAAAGTTAAAAACGAAAATATAAAATGGTACAAAGAAAAATAATGCATAGTCAAACTGACCAATAAAATAGTTACAATTTACTAACCAAAGGAATAGATAATTATTTGATTCGATTTTCAAAACCCTGTCACAGTTTTATGGCCATTACTTGCAACGTTGTGTGTGGTGCTGTCGGAGTAAAGATAACTCGTCCCCGATCGTCCTTATGGTCGGCGTAATCAATGGAATAAATGCACTTCATCCCCAGGCCCTCCTTCTGGCGAGCGGAGTAAAAGCTGGTGCAGTAGGCCACCATGATGGGGAATCCCCTGGACCGACCCAGGTCCATTAGAGTGGCGGCCAGACGGGAGCCCAGGCCCTTGCCCCTCATCGAGGCGGCCACACAGGTGATGTGGGAGTAAAGAGCCTTTGAGATGCCGTAGCGCTCAAAAATATTGGCTTCTCGTTCGGCCTTGGCGATTATGCCAAAGATGCGGCCCCAAGCGTTATCCTCCAGAGTCTCGGCTATCCGGCAGTTCCTATCCACATCCTCGGGGAGTTCGGCTCCTGCCAGGACGAAAACCACAATCCGGCCACCGTCGTCCTCATCGAGGGCCAATAGGGAAGTTCCCTGGGCGATCATCGAGATGTTTATCGCATCGTTCTCCTTCTCGTTTTGCAGATGAACGGCTTCACCACTGGATTTGCACAAGGGTTCCGCCGTAAAGTACTCCTTCTTCATAAATAATTTCACATTTTCATAGTCCTCCTGGACCATTCTGCGTATCGTGACGCCTTCTTTTGTGTTGGAGGTCATTGTGATCGCGCGTTCGCTGATTTCTTTCAATAGAACAGGGGCCTGAAAATTACTTTGCTTTTATATGCTGGGGATTATCTTGCCAATTTGTTCAATTATTCTCTTAGTGATTGCTTATCACAATATTTATTACTATTAGTAATCGGTCGAAATCATAATTGCAACCGACCAGGAAATTTTTGTATTTAAAGTTCACTGCCCTAGAAAATATGTTGCCTAGCGATAATGTTTAGCAAAAACAATAATTGAGGTATATTTTTTTTAATAAATGGGTTAATTTTTTTTTTTATTTTTTTAATTTTAAATAGATTATTTTCACTTTCAATAAACAAATATAAAGTAGGTTAAACAAGAGACAACGCTATAGTCGGGTTGGTGTCCCGACTATCTAATACCCGTCACTCAGCTAAAGGGAGTGCGAACGCTGTACTCCGGTTGATGTCTCGACTATAATCGTAACTCAGCTAAAGGGAGTGCAAGGGAGATATATATATGTAGATATTTTGATTACGTATAACTTTTTAATGAATGGTCCGATTTAAAAAATGTCTTCTACATTTTGATAGGTATAAATATATACCACAAAATTGCATTTATACTTCTTGGAAATCTTTAAAGGTGTGGGCGCCAGACAGATTTTAAAATCGTTAGGGGGCGATTGTGGGCGTTAGAGTGGGCGTGGCGCCCGGCTGAAATAAACTTGCGCTGCGTAGGAATATGTGTGGGAAATCTCAACATTCTAGCTTTTGTAGTTTCTCAGATCTCAGCGTTCATACAGACAGACAGACGGACAGACGGACAGACAGACGGACTGACAGACGGACAGACGGACATGGCTAGATCGACTTGGCTAGTGACCCTGATCAAGAATATATATACTTTATGGGGTCGGAAACGCTTCCTTCTAGCTGTTACATACTTTTGCACGAATACAATATACCCTTTTACTCTACGAGTAACGGGTATAAAAATTAAATACTAGGTGTTAAAATTCTGGCTCTGTTCTTTTGTTGACTGCTATTTCGCTTCTTAACTCCTTCAGATGACAACACATACCATATTAACATTTTAAAATTATTGAGCTGCTTTATCGATTCTGTAGATCCTGATAAAAATTGACCAGCTGCCCGAGCGAATCAATGCGAAAATCAATTGACACGTCATTCCGATCAGATTTGATAGTCAACCTAATCGCCTCGTAATAACTAGAGATCGCAAAATATTTTTGGCTAAGCAATTAATAACATTTTATTACTCACTTCGCTACTTATCGGCTGGAATGTTGCCAAACGAAAAAAAAGAACCCACGGAAAGGTTAAACGATTAGCATGAGTTTCACTTGTTTTTTGTAAAGAAATATCTTTAGGTATATATTATCTTAATTAGTTTGCTAACTAGTAAGTCAAGAGCTATTAAAGCTTAGCAGCCAGGACCCGGATATGTGTGTGTGGAGCTGGTGGATTGTAGATCGGACGTCCTTGATCGTCCTTGTAGTCGGCATATGCCTGTGAGTGAATGCACTCGAGCCCTCCATTCATCGCCGTCCGGGCGGAGTAGTAACTGGTGCTGGAGCCAATGAACAGAGGGAATCCCCGGGAACGACCCAATTCGAATAGACAAACGCTAAGGTGGGTCAACAGACCATTTCCCCTCATCGAGGCGTGAACGGAGATGACTAATAAACTCAGGTATTTGGAGACTCCGCAGCGTTCGAAGATCCTGGCGTCCCGCTCCACTTTGGCTATCATCTTACGGCTTCGACCCAAGGCATTTGGCTCCATTTCCTCGGCTTCCTTGTGCTGCTTGGCCATTATATAGGGGTCCATTTCCTCGGCCACCGCGATGCCAACGAGAAGATTTCGGTTGTTTTTATCGAATGCCACTATGGAGAGACCCTGGTTGATCACCGACAGGTATTCCCTGTCCACTTCTGCCTCGTTCAGTAGATGAATTTCCTCTTCGAGGTCCATGCCCATGGGCTCGTCGTAATGGAAGTAGTCCTTCATGAAGGGTTTCACAATTCCGTAGTCGCTCTCCTCCATTACGCGTACTGTTATTCCGTTTATTTGACTGAGTATCATTTTTAAATTTATGTTCCCCGATATTGCTCTGGTTCTCTCCTTATGCCTATATTTTTTGGTTGCAGTTCGCTTTTAAAGCAACCGATGTGACTTATCAACAAATATCACCTTGAGTACATTTAGGCCTTTTCAAGGCTGTTCAGCTTTTTTAAAGCAGCTGATAATTGCTATCTGCAAATCTTTACGTTATTTTTTGTATTTTATTAGAAGTAATAAAATACGCTTTAGATTAGGCCTATTTCGATGGTTTCGCAGATCTTTGGCCAACCCTCAAAATAGAACAAGAAGGAATGCTAAAATCGAATGAGTCGACTATCGGATAACCGTTAGTTGCATTGTTGCATTTGCAGAGTTTGCATCAGAATATTTTTTGTTAATAAATAGCTACATCAAATTTCTTATAAATGTTAATATAGTATGTTAGATTAGATGGAGCAAGTTATCAAATATAAATATTAAAAAAAAAAAGAAAACTGTGTTTTTCTCCAACTATTTGAATAAAAATGTTTTTCACAACGTAATTAACATGGCTCTGTGAAAAGTCTCTCGAGTTAACAGCAGCATCCTCAGTTAACAGCGCACACGTATAGCAACCCAGCGGGAATGTGAGAAGTTGGTTTTTGTGTTCTTGAAATCCTGTTCCTTTTTGCAGGCGGCGGTGTAGGGATAGATAATTTCTGAGCGCTAAATGAGGGTGGGTTTCTGAGTAGCATCAATATCAGGCCATTTATGCGCTGTGTGATTTCTGTGGCACTACGATTATAATATTTTTAAACAAGAAAATCACCAACTTATAATATTCAAAAATCCTATGATTTACACCAAAACCAAAAGACTTGTTCTCACATTTAGTTTTAATTTTTAGTAATTTTAAAAGTCGTAGAAAAAATATTAATAATTGTTAATCAAAAAAAATTAAACTATATAACATTATTATCATAATGTCTATAATGATAATATTAATTTATTTTACTCAACATTTTTCAAATAATAATAAGGATGAATGTGGGATTCAACCAAATTATAGAGAAAAGCCACGGTAGGACGATTAAAATATTTGATCACATTTATCAAGGAATTACATTAAATTACAAAGAAAACTATTGTTGCTTTTTACATTTTTAAACATTTTCTGTGAAATAAAATAATTTGATCGTCAGATCGTGGCCTAAGCCATTTTTAAGTGTTGTTAAAATATAAAAATTCGTGTTGGTGGTATTGATAACACGAAAAATGCCTAACATGCCAATAATATACGTAACCTTTAATGATTACGGTCCATAAATAGTACTTCGAAGTACTAACTTGCGCAAAGTTGCCTTTAAACTTAATCAAATATATTTCATTTATTTCAGCCAGGCCAAATATTTAGAAAAAAAAAAAAAAAAAAAAAAAAAAAAAAAAAAAAAGACTTCTAAAAAAAAACCCTTATTTTTGAGACTTCTTGGGACCAGAAGTGTTGCGCCTGCGTTTTTCATATTTTATTTTTTCTTCTCATAGTTTTTGATATAGATACCCGACATAAAACAGCTGAACAGAGGGTAAATGATCGGCCATGGCAAACCAGATCCTTTAATTTTGTGCGGAGACGTAATAATGGTAATTACTCTTATTATTATTCCTGGTCTTACATTCATATCTTAATTATTTTTGATATTTTCAGAAGACAGACAATACATGGATACCTAAGAACTGCATTCGGCCAAGCCAAACCCGGGAATGCTTCAGGCATTAAACATTTTTAATTCCAATGCTTCGATTGTAAATATTATTAATAAATACACAAACAACAACAAAATCAGATACTGCAAAGCGGTGCAAAACCAAAACTGCGAGGGTCTGGAAAAAACAAAACTGAGAGTGTGCGGAAAAGCAGACACTGCAAGTAGAGGAAGAGCATAACTGGGTACGTGTGGAAAATCTATAATGCGGGAAGTCGAAAAACCTGTGGATTTTGTCCTGCATTCTTCTGCCAGAGATCCAGATAGAAACCTCATTTCCCCCTTACTTTTTGTGTCACCCCCGTGTATTTTGAAACCAGAGATGGAAGAAATGTAAGGGGTGAATGAGGTTTTGTCCCTTCCGCTTCTATGGAGAAACCTCTTGAAAATATGTTATTTTCCAGAGGAATTTTCCCGGTGGGGTACCTCAAGCCACGCTCAGTCGATAGCCTTTTTTTCTCTCGCGCTCTCTTGTTTCTAATTAAACTCGCGACCTCGCGCTATTATACTTTTTGTTGTTTAGTGTCTTTGCGGTTTTGCGAATTTGATCCCAGTGTCAAATTTACTTGAGGTATTTTTCATTATTTTCACATTTTTATTCTTATTATATTTTATTTCTCTTGAATTAACATTTTTTTCCTATAATGTCTTTTGCCTGTATTAAGAAACATTATAGGACATCATCTAATGACCCGTTTATTTACTGTTGGCTCTGCGAAGCGATGATGCATTGTAAATGTGCAGGATTCACTGGCAGAGTTAAAGACTTCATTGAACTGCAGGTTGGTCTCATGTGGGTATGTGAGTCCTGCAGGGAATTGGCAATTGAGCTTTATGAGGCAGACTCGAGACGGCCTATGTAATCTTTCACGAGTTTTTAAACAGCTCAATGATGGATTAAATTCCGTTATTTAATTAGCTCAATTAGCTCAACGATAAATGCGAGTGTAGAATCCGCCTTAAATCCAAACTTGGTAGCTGCTGCAGTTTCGGGTGACGCAGGGGTAACTGTGCCAATGGATACTGCTAGGTTCGGTGTAGTCCCGGTATCTGAAAGTCAGGCTCTAATAAGATCTCCAGAGCCGGCGGAGTCAACCAGTTCGGTGCCGACCATACCCATAGGTATAGTAGGGGCCGTTTCTCTCTCTCAGCCAAATGAGGTTCAGGCTGCTGCTGGGGGGCGCAAAAATCTCTCAGTTGTATCCAAAGGTACAGTAGGTGCCGCTTCTGGCTCTCAGCTGAGTGAGGTTCAGACTGCTGCTGGGGGGCGTATGAAACTCTCAGTTGTTCCTCATAGGAAGCAACTATTTGTTTCAAGATTTACGCCTGATACCACATCTGAGGATGTTTTGGAATTCATTCGTGAAAAATTCCCATCCGAGGATTTTCATCTAGCATCTAGCTGCTATTAAATCTATTCAATCCTTTCTTTCCAATAGGGACCTTTTGATGGTTTTGGGTGACTTCAATCTCCCGGATATTTCTTGGTCCCCTCCTACTGACTCACTTGTCGCTCTACCTTTATCCGCACATGACTTTCTGGATGGCCTTTTAGAATTATCGTTACAGCAAGTTAGCTTTATACGAAATTCTTTAAATAGACAATTAGATCTTGTGTTTGTTTCAGATCCGTCTGAAGTCACAGTATCTAGAATTGACGCTCTTGTGGTACCAGAAGACCGATACCACCCAACTATGGAATTAACACTTTGCCTCCCCTACCTTGATACCACCTCTCCTTTAGTTTCTCCAACTAAAATGAGATGCTTTCGGAAATGTGACTATAATAAACTTAACCTTATGATTTCGCAATATAATTGGACAGATCTTTATAAGTGTGTGGACATCGAAAGTGCAACTAAACTTTTCTATAGCGTTCTAAACACTTTTTTTAATGAATGCGTTCCTGATAGGCTTCCTCCAAAGCCGAACAGGCCCCCTTGGTTTACAAATGCGCTTCAAAGACTTAAAAATCTTAAAACAAACACTTAGTGTCGAAGTCACAGTGGTAAATACGAGCACTTGTACCCATGCCTACCCAGAGCGTCTTTTCGAGAATTAAATTCGGTTATTTTCACTATATTTTTATATATTACGTCTTTTTTGTCAGTTTCTATATCTTTGATTTGTTCTGTTGTATATAGATTTAAACGTATGCACAGTGGGGAAAAAGTCCGTTTTTTGGCATAAACTCTAGTTTTAAAGGTAGGGCCTTGGAAATTATAATATATATGTACAATGTACATACTCCCACTCCCTGTGCTCAAATAGAATTTCGGTTATTTCCATTTTTTGAAAAAACTCTAAAAATGTTCAGAATATTTTTATTTTTATTAATAGAAAACATATTTTTTAAGAAAACAAAAATAAGATGGGATAAGGTAGTTATTAAATAAAAATTGTTATTATCCTCCACCTTACACCTTTGAAGAAAATGCAAAAAATTTAAATTTTTTTTTTTTTAAAGGGGCAAAAAGCAATAATAACACTTTTTTCTTTATCATTTCGTTAATACATTTCTATAACAACCTTGCGTCGATCAGCGTAGATTTTTAACTAAAGCTTTAGAGAACACAAACACTTTTGTTAGTTTTCGGCTGAAATAGACATACAGTTGCGAAAAAAATAATAGCACCACTTCGTCACAGGTTCTTAATATTAAAGAAATATGTGGAAAACGGGGATTTTTATATAAGAAGTGTTTTTTATTATCTTGATTAGTATTCCACCTATTTGAAAAAATTGATACGGATATCGAAAATATTGTCTACATATAATTTTTTCAGATTTTAAGAAAAAAAGTCAAAAAAGGCCGAAAAAAATAATAGCACCACTTCCGTTTTCTTTAAATAAAACGTTACGATGCGCTAATATTCTTGTGTATAAAGGATATATTTTATGAGATTTGACTAAAACTAACTTCTCCTGATATCCAGACATCAAATTGATTACCATTTGGCAATACAAGGACATCTGGAAAATTTTCCAAGTCGGAAAAGAAAAATATTCAAAAAAGAAACATATTGGATGGAAAACGGTCATGAAAACCGGTTGGATTGGTTAGGTTTTGGATCATATTCATTAAGAATGGCATAAACTTTGAAGGATAACACAGAAAAACCGAGTCCTGGCCCAGTTTTCCTTCAAAAATGTTATATCACAAAGCACAAAGAATCTTATCAGGGCCGATACTAAACTAAAACACGTGCTTAAAATAATAGAGAATATTTTAATAGTTGGATAATGTTTCAATAAACAAATTTATAAAACATGCACTTA